CCCTCCCCGTACAGCAGAGACCCCCCACCCCGCTGGTGGCAATGGGGGGAGGGGGGTGGTGCTGAGCCCTGGGGGTGGGCGGGCGTTATTCGGTGCCGTCGATGTGGAGGGGGGGGCGGGGGGTGCCGGGATGCCCGTTGAGCTGGGCGGGGGGGGCCGCCTTCTTGGGGCTGATGGGGCACGCAGCCCCCGCCGGGCAGCAGCGCTTGGGGCCGAGCGGCGGCCGCTGCATCTTGTGCTCCAACAGCATGTGGTTCTGGGGGGGCAGCCCCAGGCAGGCCCTGAAATGGGGAGAGGGAGGTGGGAGGGACACACACACACACCAATATCCCCCCCTGCGAGTAGCAGAGCCCTGTAGGATTGAGCCCCCACCCCACGTTGGGATCCACCAGAACTGGGGACACCATCTGGGCAGCCCCGCATTGGGAATGGGGACCCCCATATCCCCCCGTGGCACCACTGTGGGTCACTACATCCCCCCCCGTGGGTACCTCAGGATGTTCTCAATGCAGCTGCGCTGACGGAAGAGCGCGTTGACGACGGGGGTCCCGTCGGGCACCAGGGGGGCTTTGCAGAGGAAGGCGACGATGGAGAGGACGCTGTGGAAGCTCTGGAACTCGGGGTCGCTGTCAGTGCAGAAGGTGATGCGCTGGCACAGCTCGGTCAGGATGGCCAAATCCAGGATGATGGGGCTGGCCAGCAATGAGTCCTGCGGGTGGGAAGGTGAGCGGGGAGGGGGGGTCACGGTGAGCCCGGCATAGGGGTGCACCCCCCCCAGCCCCCCCCAGCCCCGCACCTCGCACGTGTTGTGGATGACGATGGTGTTGGTGCCGCCCATCATGATCTCCGAGGTGTATTCATCCAGTGCTCGCTTGCTGTCCCCCACGTAGGGCACGTATTTGATCACCACCTGCACAGGGACCCCCGTCAGCACCCACCCCCCCTGCAGACCCTCCCCTCTGCACCCCCTCCCCCCCCAGAGCTCACTCACGCAGTGGTCAGGTTTGTCCTGCGGGCCGTACAGCAGCGGGTTGGCCTGCACTGTGTCATCCACCACGTTGCTCTTGGAGATCTCCTTGGAGCGGAACTGCTGCGGCGCAGAGAGGTTCTTCCCATCGTTGTTCCCCAGGTGGTTGTAGCTGACGATGGACCTGGGCTGGGGGGGAGGGCAAAGGGTGCAAATAGGAGGGAACCGTGGAATCATGGAGTTGGAAGACCAGCGGGGGTGGACGGGTCAACCCGGTTCCACGTCCCACCCCAACGCACCTTCAGCCCGGCGCCCACCAGGAAATCCACCAGCACCGACTTCAGCTTCGTCTGCCCCGATTTGAAGTCATCCCCGCAGATGAAGACGCGGCGCTGCGCTGCCAACTCCACGGCGCCCGGCACGAAGGTGTTCTGGGGCGACCCGTTGATGTAGGCGCAGCCCTCCAGGATGCTGGCCACAGCGAACAGCGTGGATGGGGACACCTCCAGGCCTCGCTGCGGGGACACCGTGCGGCTCAGCACTGCAGCACATCCCCTCCACGTCCCCCCCTTCATCCCCTCACCTCGATGGCTCGCAGCAGGTTGTCGGCGCTGTCGTTGAGCCCTGGCACCACATCACAGAAGCGCTCGGTGTTGGCCGTCCACAGCACGATGACTTTGTCCACCCCGCTGCTCGCCCTGAAGTCCCGGATGTCCCTGCGGATCTGCTCCACCTGCAGGGATGGGGATGCAGACAGGTCACCGTGGTGCCCCCCCTCCGTCCCCGTGTGCCCCCCCCCCGCCCGCCCCCAGCACCTGCTCAGCCTTGGAGCCACGCAGCACGTTGTCCGCCCGCTCCTCCTGGTTGGCGGCGATGAACTCGGGGATGTAGATGGAGGGTCGGGGCTTCATCTGCTCCATGTGAGGCCACAGCTGCTCCTGCAGCGCCCAGTCCAGCACCTCGGCGCGCCGCATGGCCTCGGCCAGGTTCAGAGAGGAGATGTCCCACCCTGCGGGATGGGGTCACGCTCAGTGCACGGCTCTCCCCCCCCGCCCACCCCAGCACCCCTCCTACCATCAAAGACGATGTCGTTGGGGTGCACCATGGGCAGCAGATCCCGGAACGGCACATAGACATCCCCGGTGGGGCCGGCACCCAGGCATACAGTGGAGGCCTGCAGCAGCGAGCCGTAGTAGTTGGCTTTCTAGAGATGGGGGGCAGAACGCAAGGCTGAGCGACCACCAAAAAGCCCAACGTCCCCCAAGCCCCCCCCCAAAACGAGGGGAGCCGGCAGGGCTGTCCCCTCACCCCACACCCACCTTGCGGCCGGTTTTGGTCATCCAGGACAGCCCCAGGCGATTGGCCAACACAGCCGCCGTCACCGTGGTGCCGTTGTTGCCCCCCCAGCCCACCAGCATCAGCCCCAGGCGGGGGACGTGCCGCGCCGTGCGGAAGGTGAAGCGCGTGGAGCAGGGCCGGACCTGCGGCAAAGGGGGGGGGGTCGGGACGGGGGCAGCCGGCGGGGCGGCCCGGCGATGCCATCCGAGGGCGTCCCCGCGTCCCCTACCTTGGTGACACCGCCCTCCCTGCAGACGTGCGCGGTGCTGTACGTGTACTGCGCCTCGATGAAGTCTTTGCCGTACGCGACGTCGGGGCTCTCCACCACGAAGGGCTCTGCCATTGTTCCCGCTGCTGGGATGGGAGGAAACGCGACCCCCGCCCGCTGGGACACGGAGCGGAACGACGGGTCCGACCCCGAGCCCGGGACACCGCCAGGATGAATGGGGAGGGGGGGGTCACGGGGTACGCGGGCGGCAGCGGGGGGGGGCAGCGCGGTCTCCGCTCCCACGGGGGCAGCGGGCGCTGCGGGGCGCGCGGGGACGGCGCCGAGCGCGGCCGCCGACGGGACGCGGATTGCGGGGCGGACATCGCGGGGGGTGACAGACGGACACGCGGAGCGCCCCCCCCCGCCTCCCCCGGCACTCACCTGGAGCCGGGCGGCTGCCGGCGCTGCCCCGCGGGGATGTGAGCGCGGCCGGGGCTCCCCCTCCGCTCCCGCCCTTAAGCGGCTCCCAGCGCCCGCCCCCCCTGGCCCCGCCCAGCCCAAAACTTTCCATCGGCGCCGGATCCCCCCCCGCAGCCCCCGCCCGCACGTGCCCCGGTACCGGGGGTTCGAGAGGGGACACCGAACGCGACTCCGGACGGGGAACTCCGCTCAGCCCCGGCCCGGTGCGTTCTCTCCCTCCCACCCCCCGCCCCGGGCTCTCACCGACGCTCGGAGCGGACGGGCCGGGCCGGGCCGCCTCCAGGAGGGAAAGCGGCCGCTGACCCGGGAAGGGGAAGTGGCACCGGGGCCGGGGGGTCCCGCCGCTGCCTTCCGCCCATTCACTGCCCCGCGCCGGCGGCTTCCGGAGCGGCGGGGGGGCCCGGCGCCTTCCCACGGTGCCGCTCCCACGGTGCCACCGCGCCCGGGCACCGCGAACCGGAGCTCCCGCCCCCTGAGCCCCCCCGCAGCCCCCGGCTCGGCCATCCCAGAGCCCCGCGGGGACACCCCGCGGCACCGTGTCGCTCGGTTCCCGACGGACGGGCGGCGGGACGGCGAGGAGGTCCCGGTTCCCGTTTCAATGGGAAGAATCCGCTTCAAAGCATCCCCCGGAGCGGAGCGACGCCCCGAGCCCCCACGGCGCTCCGTCCTCCCCCACCCGCGCTCCCCGCGAGGCGTGAGGACAGCTCGGCCGCCGCCCACCCCCCGCCCCGGGCTGCGGCTCCGCGGGGGCGACGGGGATGGGGACCACCGGGAGCAGCGGGCACAGCGCGCGGGAAGCGGCCGCGTCGGGGCTGCGGGACGGGGAAGGGGGGGGAAACAGCCGGGACTGGGGGACACCTCCGGGAGAGGGGGATGCGGGCGGCCCCGAAGGCCCCGTCCAGACCTCGGGCGTTGGAGGAACAATGCTCCCTCAGAGGACAAAACGAACCCCGCGTTGGAATTCCAGCGCCTCAGCAAATTATTGAAACAAAAATAACATTTCTTTGTACAATAATCCATCGGGCGGGGAGGGTCCGGGCAGCGCTGCCAGGGGCCGAGAACTGGTATTTTTCCACTGCTTTCCTTCTTCTTCTTTTTTTTTTTTTTTTGCCCCCCTCCCACAACTCCCACCATTGTTCCTTCCCACCCCTCCCACGCCGCACTGTTCCCTCGCACCGTGGGCTCCGTGCCCAACGCCTCCGCTCGCGGCTCGGGGCTGGCGGGGACCCAACGCTGCGCAGCCATGGCGACCGGCACGGCCCCGCAGCAATGGCACCGCGACCCCCGTCCCACGACCCCCCACGGAGGGCTCAGGTCCCGTTCTGTGCCCTCGGGGATGCGGTCCTCGTGGTCGGGTTTTGTTCCCTCCGTGTGCGATGCTCCCCTCCGCACCCTTTGCCGTCCCTATCCCCGTCCCCGCATCCTTTTGCTGTGACCTTCCAGGACCTGCACACCTGAGGGCGGACGGACGCGTGCAAAGGGACGGACGGACAGACAGACCGGCTCCATCCGAGCGTGCCGGGGTCGGGGTGGGGGGGAGCTGGGGCAGTTATCCGGTTATCCTAACGAACTTCCTCCCGCCGCAGGGAAAGGCGCTCAGCCCCGCAGACGGGGCGGCCCGCAGCGCCGTGCCCGCACCGGGCGCTACACGGAGCCGCTGCGGGGAAAACGACCGCACCGCTTCGGGGCGGCACCGCGGGGCTCCGCGCGTCCCCGCAACCGCAGCCGCCCACCGACGGGCGCACAGAAGCGGGAAGCTGCCGCGGTCCGCCCGGCTTTGGCACGGAAGGAGCGCAGTAAATTTCCACTCGGAGCTCATTAGCGCTCGGCCCGACCCCGTCTGCGCTGCCGGGGGTGCGGAGGAGGCGTCCGGGGACACCGGGAGGGAGCGGAACCCCGCGATCGGAGCGAGGAAACCCGCACGTGGCCGGGACCGACGGCGTCCGCGGGTGATGGATGGGAACGCAGCGACGGGCGGGGGCTGCGAGGGCGGCTCTGCCCCCACCTGGAGCCGCTCTGCGTGGGACGGGGGCACCGCTCGGACCCGTCCGCGATCCCCGCGCTGCGGTCGCGCTGTTCGGAGGCGGAGGAGTTCGGGCTGCGAAGCAGAGAAAACCCCGCGGTGGGACCCAGCGCTGCGCTGCTCCCGGCCCCGAACCCCGAACCCGACTGCAGGAACCCCCAGAACGGCCGCTGGAAGCCCCCCGTGCACTGCAGGGCGGCCTGAGCTCCCGGCGCTGCCGCAATCCCACCAAAGCCGGGGCAGCAGCGAGCTCTGCACCCCGACCCCGGCGCCCCCCACAAAGCACTGCCTTCACGCTCCCCATCCCACCCCCACCACGGACCATTTCCCCCTTCCAGGTTCTCCCCGCTCTCCGAAGTGTTGGAATGAAAGATGGGCCCGCATTGTTCGCATCGTTTCCCAATACAGTGAATTTATTATATGTTGCAAAATCAGCATTCAGCTTTTTTAGTGTACAAAAAAGACACCAGAGCTCTTAAGAAAAGATTAGGAAAGCTGAAGACTACGCCGCCTTTAAATTGTAACGTTTTGGCAAAGTGAAAAGCTCTTTTTTGTAAACTCCAACTCCATGGCTCAATATAGTTTTATCCACAGTACAATATTACAAAGTAAAACACAGTATCAATAAGTTAAGATCATACTTAATCACCTAAACTGGTTTCTATTCACCCAAAAAGCACGGGGTTCGCCTTGGCCTAACTTCCTCATCTCTAACAGGGAGAACAAAAAGGCAGATCCGACTACGGCCCTTGAACACAGTCCGAAAGAAAAGTGAAGCAGAGAAGTCGTTGGCTGCTAATTGGGTCTCACAGTTTGGATACTCATTAAATATTTTCAGTTTTTTTTATATTCAATTTCTTTTTTTTTTTTTTTCCTTTTTTTGTTTGTTAGAAGTTCCAGAATATACATGTCAATGTACACAATACATCTTCGTATACAACTCTGTTTGCAAAAATATCTCATAGCAGGTGTATAAAGATCGGGGATCCATCTCTATCCCCACCCCCCCGAGAAGCCAAAAAAACAACAAAACCAACCCCAACCACCCCCACTGCAACTGGGAGGGAGCAGAAGTGTTTCCATGGAGGACTGGGTGTTGGGGTGGTGCTGTGGTTGGTGGTGCTGCTCCCACCCGGAGCACCACAAAGCATCCAAGCAGAATGGAATTGTTACCATTGGGTTTCATAGAGCAGATGGACCCATTTGGATGTTTAGGAATGGAGGGAGGTGGGAAAATAAGAAGAGCTGCTGAGGAAAAGCAGAGCTTTCCTCCTTTGCTCCGCTCCCCCCGCGGCTGAAGGCGCTGTGGGATGGATGGGGCAGAAAGGAACGGCGGCATTCAAAGGGCACCTTTGTGCTTTTTGGCATCTTGCTGGCGCCCGGGCCGTGCTCTGCAATGTTCCCTTCCAGTCCAAATTAAAAAAAAAAAAAGAAAAAAAAAAAAAAGAAAGAAAAACCAGAAAAGAAAGGCTGGGGGAGGAGCCGGGATGGAGCCGCCCCACTGGGAAAGCGCTGCCCCTCGGCTCCCACGCTGCAGGTCAGCCCCAGCAGCTCCTGTAATACTGCCTTAGCAGAGGGGGAAGGCTCTGAAACGGCCTGAAAGGAGAAGGGAGGCACAGCTGTAGATAAAGATGGCTGGGGTTTGGTTGGTGGTTGTTTTTGTTTTGGTTTGGTTTTTTTTTTTGCCTTTTTTCCTTTTTTTTTTCCTTTTTTTTTCTTCCTTTTTTTTTTTTTGTCTTTTTCTTTTTTTTTTTTTTTTTTAAATACAAAAATAGACCACAGTCTCATCAGCGAGTCGTAAAATCCGCCGCCCTCGGTACAAAACTACAAAAGTCAAAGGCGGGCGGTGGGACGCGGCCCCAGCAGTGCCATGGCTGGGCTGGGGGGCGTAGGGGGGAGGACGGACACACAAAGCCGTCTGTCCGTCCCCACGCAGCCACTGCAGTGGGAGCACAGAGCGGGGGCAGCTCCGGGTGCTGGGAGCACACAGCTCACACAGGAACAGTCGCAGGTGCCACAGAGGGACCCCAGCAGCATTCCAGCTCCGCACCGTCGGAAGGAACGTCTGTAACCCACGGGCCAGGGGGGTAATTAACACTTCATGCCAAATTTTAATCCGTGAAAACTACTGATTTTTAACCTTTGGGAGCTTCGGTCGCTGTAGGTAATCTATTTCCCTTAAGTGTCTTGAAATAAGCAGAGTTCCATTGGTTGCATTCCGGCGTTCAGAGGCCAAAAGCAGAGCAGGTCCTGTGCCCCCGCCAGCAATCCCGAGTTCTTCAGCCACGAAGAAGTGATGCTCATCTCTGATGGTTGTACAGAAGGGATGGCAGCACCCACTGCAGCTCCGTGCCCCCCGTCCCACCGCTCAGAACTGCTGCTGGTCGTACTCTGCTATCAGTTTTTTGATGTGGGCCAGTTTGTTGTGGAGGTATTCGCAGCGGTTCTTCTCCTGGCTGTAGTTGGGATTGGTCTGCAAAGAGAAACTGCCGTGAGGGACACAAAGCAGAGCTGTCTGTGCACAGCTCAGAGGAGGATCCCGAGGGCCTGAGCTCACAGCGCTGGGAAGCTCTTCCCAAAGCTCTGAGCTTTGGGGGTGGGAGGGCTCAGGGCTCCACGGCCGGGTGATGAGCACACACAGCCCTGCTGTGCACACTCCTACCTCTCCCACCTTAACCACTGCTCACAGCAAAGGACCCAGGCTGATCCCAATTAGCTGGCAGTGAGCTTGGTGCCAGCCAGGCACAGCAGTGTGGGCCCAGACCTGCAGCACCTCACTGCCCACCGGCCCTGTGCCACACACACTGCTCTCTCACTCTGCGGGGCAGAGGCACTCATTCCATGCATCCACTCCTCTGCTCCGTGCTGCTCACAGCTGAGTGCTCCCCAGCACACACACAGCAGACACAGCTGCCTGCAAACCCTCTCTGAACAATGAAGGGACCACTTTTTGCACGAGCTCGAGCTGAACAAAAATGTGCTGATACGCTTTGGAGGCCAGGTTCTGTGCTTGGCAATGAGCTGCACCTTCCAGTCCCTCAGGGCTGCACCCAGAAGCCTCATTTATGGCCAGAAATTGGCACTCACCTTCTTAATTTTCCGATATTCCTGTAAAATTTGATCGTGGATGGTCTGAAAAGGAAAAGGTAACAGATTGATTTCTAACCAGTCAGCAGCTCTGCCACCCAACTGAGCAACACAGGTATCTCTGAGCAAAACCTGCTCCCTCCCACGTGCTGCCCACTCCCACCACTGCCAGCACCCCAGCACTGCCCCACTGCAGCCCCCAGCCACGAAATCCCACAGCACACAGACAGAATAATGGACATTTCCTCTGCAGCTCAGACTCATTTTTCCCCTGAGATACGAAGAATACTTTGGTGAGGAACTGGAAGATTTCTCAAAGAGCAGAAGGATGTTGGAGGCAGCACTGAGCACAACAGGCTCTGTAAGATCTGTAAGATCTGCTCGCTGCACTCACTGAGATTTCTTTCCTCAAGGTAACAGAGCTGAACAACACTATGTTGTTAAGACTGAAGATGGGAGAGAAGCAGCTGACTGTGCCCTACTGCCCTCCCAACCCGCTGTGCTCCCATCTGCACACACTGGGGTTTGCTGGCTGGGATACACTCATTGCTTCCAGCAGCTTTTGGCTGCAGCCACCAATTGTCTCGTGGAGGCTTTCCCCTGTCAGCAAGTGCTGTGATGTGCACCCAGCTCCACAACGAAAGAGCACAGGGCTGTCTGAAGAGCACAGGGCTGTTCTGCAGCCACATCTCACAGCACAAACTGCAGCATCCCCACACCTCAGCTCTGTTCTACCTTGTATTCTTCAGAGCCCTGCAAGAGCTGCTTCAGCTTGGAGTCCAGCTGTGTGAATCGCCGCGTTATCCGCTCTATCCGTGCGTGCAGGTCTCTGTACTCATTGTATTCTGCATTGAAGTCGTTTTTGTAACTCTGACGCTGCTCCGAGGAGGAAATGGCTGCGTATTTTCTAGGGGCAGAATAATTTTGTTCATCAGTTTACACGTCTTCCACCCGCACAGCGAGCGCTGCCGTGCCAAAGCAGGATGACAGGTTGGAAACCAATGTGGTCTCTTAGGATTTGTGCTACAGCAGCACAGAGACAACAGCCAGGACTGCTGCCCCGACCTCTGTGTGAAATGAGACGTTCCTTATCAGTGAGGCAGGATGCAATGTGGAGGTGCTGCCTGGGAGCTGTGGGTGTGGGAGGACACTCAGATAGCACCGCCACAGCGCTTCTCATTCCTGCTGTCCCACAGAACGTGGAGTTCTGCATCTGTGCCAGACCTTGGAACAGCAGGAGCACGAAGCTTCCAGCGCTCAGAGGCTTGAAAGGAGCACAACAGCCACTCAGCTATCGCTGCAAAACTGCTCTCAGCACGACTGTGTGGCAAGTGTGGGACAAAAACCACACTGAACAGACTGAATGCATCTCCACCACCTTCTGAAGGCACCCAGCGTGACCTGGACGCAGCACAGGAGCTCATGTTTAACAGCTGCATCTTCGAGGTACACTGAAAAGAGCCAATTAGTGGTGGTCCTCTGATCCTTAATGATGGCTCTAAACCTGACCTCCTGCAGCAAATCCTCTGGGATGGAAAAACCCATCAACACCAAAGGGTTTGTGGCTTCCTCCTCTATTTAATCCCGCTCTGTAAAGTTTACCAAGCAACATCTGAGCCCAACATAAATCACATCCTGCCTTTCAGCTCCCAGTGTGATCCCAAAGCCATTCAGTGAGTGATAAAATGACTTACAATAAATAATCTGGCATGTCCGAAGTTGATGTTGGTACACTGGAGTTATTGCATGTCCCATTTAAACCTGAAAAAGAAACAAGAGGCACAAGAGCTTTCTTGCAGGTGTTCTTCAGCTTTAAACCTCTATGCAATTAAACTGAATTCCTCAACCTGCAGTGCAAATGCAGATATCGATTTCTAAAGGATTTCTGCTTTTGCCTTCAGTTGAGGAGAAGGTGCTGCCACCAACAGCAGTGTCAGCATGAGCAGCAGCACTGCCTCAGCTCATGGAGAAATCCCCAGGGCTTGGAGTGAAGGACTGAGGGGCTGGGAAGGAATGCAGGAAGATGCAGAATGTGAGTGAGGAAGATGGTGGTGGCGGCGAAGGAAGGTTTGCTTTGCCTGTGAGTGCCACCTACTGTCTGCAGGCAGGACCCTGAAGGTCCCTGCACTGCCCCAAACGGGGGGAACCTGCTGGAACTGAATGAGAAACGTCATCAAAAAGGACCTGGAGCTACACTGCTTTGATGGAAAATACTTCCATCGCATCCCAACAGCAACAGCTGCACTGCTTTGTTACTCCTCAGGGCAGCAGGGGACAGCAGGGAGGCTTCCAGCCTGGATGAGCAGCTGCACAGCTCTCTAACAGCACTCACCACCTCCTGCATTCAATCTGGTGCCTAACATCTCACGGCAGAGTTACCAATCAATTCAGTAACCATCACCAAACACAAGTATGTAATCAAGCAGCGCTGCGTTTCCAGCAGGTCTTGATGTCTGCCTTCCATCCCCGTGCACTAACAAAGCTTTTCACTTGGCCAGGAGAAAAACAACCCGGGCTGAGGTGGGTCTGAGCAGCACCAGAGGCTGAACAGGAAAGACCTGCCAGGCTCTTTGGAAAGGAACAGCACTGCTGATTTGCAGGTAGGGCCGCTGATGACACTCCATCAACCATACAATGCCTGCATGTGAAGTGACACAGCAACCTCTTCCCCCAGATGGATTTGGGGCAGAAATGAGAGCCAGCACAAAGCGCAGCTGGGCACATACCTGGCGCCTCCTGCGGAACACTAACTAAGTCAGCATTTTTTATTACTTCACAGTCCTGCTTCTCCTCTTTGCATTTCTCCTCGCTTTTCTTCTCCTTCCTCTCCTTCTCTTTGTCTTTGTGCTTTTTGGATTTTTTCTTGCTTTTTACATACGAGCTGCAGTTGTGTTTGCTCGTCTGCGCACAGTCTGTGGGCGCGGGGAGGCTCAGCCTGTCGGCCGGCTCCGTGCCCTCACAGTCTCTGCCGTTGTGGCTCAGGTCGTTGCTGACGTCGGCCAGCGGGTCGTGGGGCCGCGGCAGCTCCGGGAGGCTGGAGCTGGAGCTCACCGACTCCGGCAGCGCCGGCGGCAGCGCAGCAGAGGGGACGGGGACGGGGATGGGGACGGGGACGTCCTTCCCGTTGGCGTTCAGCTTCCCGTTGAAGGTGGGCTGAGCTCGGTGAGCCAGGTGTGAGATCCGGGGCTTCTTGTTGGCCAAGGGATCGATGAACTCCAGCGGTTGGGAGCGTTTCTGTGCAGGAAAAAGGAGAAGGAAATCAGCAGAGCTTGAGCGCCGTGACCACTAGGTGGGAGTGCGGGGCTGCAGAACAGGGGAGGCACTGCACACAGCCCTGCACACAGCCCTGCACGCAGCCCCACGTGTCCCCCCGCAGGGCTCTGGCTGTGTTCTGTTGCTCTGCTGGCAGCACAGCCTGCACTGTGCCCCCATAACCCTGCTTGGTGTGCAGCACAGGAGCACAGCCCTCAGCTCCCAGCTCTACTCCTTCCTCTTCTCAAAGGGCATTTCCCAGAAGAAGTGAGGAAGCAGCAGTTGCTCCGCACTCCCAGCCGAAAGAGGCAGCATCTGTACAAGGCATATCATGCGGGCTGACGTGATCTGCAGACAGGGTCTGAGTGGCACTGTGCAGAGCCAAGGGCCAGACCTGGAGATGCTTGCAGGTCCTCCCAGCTCAGGACACCCCGTGGTTACAGACCAGAATATCCCTCTACTCGCAGAGCGGAGGGAGCACACGGGTTTCCCCTCACTGCCCAGCACTGTTCAGAGCCCATGGAAAGTCCACCTCTGCCCAGCGGAAAGCAAGGGATGGTTTGGGCTATTTCTTTTGGCTATTTCATTGCTTTCTTTACTGTCTCAGGCAGGGCTGTTTGCACATGGAAACTCTGCTCCATCCCAGCAGCACGGCCGGACATGCAGCTGCACCACAGCCATCAATTCGCTTCTTTTCCCCCCAGTTATGATTTCTTTTTGCCAGCTGCAGGGTCACAGTGACAGTGCTCAGTCACAGATCCTGCTGCTGCCCATCAGGATGATTGTGCTGCAGGAGCTGCAGGAGCTCCAGGGGCGGCAGCAGCAGTCAGACTGGTTCAGCAGCATCACTGCCTGCCCTGCAGCCCTGCCTCCAGTGCCATTCCAGCAGCCATCTACCTCCCAGAGGAGGAGCCACCCCCTCTGCCCACAGCTCTCTGAGCAGCAGACGGACCCAACAGCAGCCACCCTCCCCTTACCTTACCCTACAACCAACAAAGCTACCCAATCCCATTCCTCTGGGACTGGGACCATCAGGAGCGCATCCCTTCTCTAAATGGAAGCTACAGCTGTCTAACACCTAGCATCAAAATTAACAGCTGTGGTCTGTTGCCCAATGGGCCACGTGAGAAGCACTGCTGGCAACACCACTAACCTGTGTTCAGCTGCCCCTATTTCATTAAGAATCCTGGACACAAACCAGCCAACCACCCAGAGTTCAAATCGGGTAACCAAGAGCTGAAGAATGCCCCCAAAACACACGAAGTCAGAAGGAAGGCGATCTTCTAACACACATTTTTGAAGAATCAGCTTAAAACAAAGCACAAAGCCCACCTGGTAAGAGAGCACCATCCCTTCCCAAGCCAACTCGAAGGGGACCATTCTTTGCTCACCAGGAACGTGCCCGCAGCAGAACAAAGTGCATCTGGAATGGAGCACTTGGCAAACAAGTTGCGTGGTTCTTGTTCTCAATGGAGAATTGCTTACCTCTCACTGCCAGAAAGCACATAATTTCCTTACCTGCTAATATTCCCTGCCACTAATCCCCAGTGCGTCTGTCCAGACAAGTAAGCATTACACATTCCATTGGCAGGAGGAGAATAAATACTCAACTTGTCTGGGCTGACCCACAGCAGAGAAGGGAAGGCAGCATTTTGCAGCGTGAGTGAGAACAGCCGTGCTCAGAGACAGCAGGGCACAGCAGTGGGTCACACTGCTCCACACACAACCAAGTGCAGCTCCCTCCCAGCTCAGGGGCATGGAAACCCAGCTAAAATGTCCTTTCTACAGCTCCATGCGCTGGCATCTCAGCAAGTCACAGAGCAGACCAACCTGCTCCTGCTCTGTCACGGCAATTAGCTTGCAAAGGTCAAGGTTTTTAATAACTCAGCCGTGTTTGGGAGCTACTTATTACTGCTTCATTCCAGTCAATTATTAGTAATGAGTAAAACACAAGCTCACATTCTCCCTGGAATTCCAAGAGGAATGGAGGCACTTCTAAAAAATCCATCCCTTAAACGAAAGCTGAGAGCACACCATCAGGGATCTGCAGCCAGGGGAGAAACAGATGCTGAGGAACCCAGGATTAGACTCCAACTTAAGGGAAAAGCCCTGCAAGCAGTGACTGAGCAGCCCATGGATGGAGGTGTGCAGAGTTACAAGCTCAGGCCCTGCAGCAGTGCCCACTCCTGGCTGTGCTGTGTGCTGGGGTGGCTGTGCCTACCTGCGGAGGAGAGCTGGAGCTGGCGGTGTCTTTCGGTGGACTCAGGGAAGGTGCTTCTCCTTGAAACCCGCTGCTGTTCTGGGGCTGACAGAGTTTCCTGAAAAACAGAATTCGGGTTCAGACGCTGCGTGTGACACAGCAGAGGGCAGCACTCGGATCTGCCTGCAGAGCACAGTGCCCTCGCATTGCTCTGACTGCTGGGGGTGCCCTGACAGCAGCTCCTTTGGGCTCCTGGGTCTTTAAAATGCATTCAAGCCTGCCCTGCTCAAACCTGAACCTCCAGCTGCCTGCAGCCATAGATTGGTCCAGGCTGGAAGGGACCTCAAGGATCATGAAGCTCCACAACCTCCCTGTGACAAACCTCCCCTTTAATACTAGACCAGGCTGCCCAGGACCCCATCCAACCTGGCCTTGAACACCTCCAGAGATGGACAGAGCATCCTCAGCCTCTGTGGGCAGCTGTTCCAGCACCTCACCACCCTCTTCATAAAGAACTTCCCCCTGATATCCAACCTAAATCTTCCCCCCTTCATCTTAAAGCCACTTCCCCTTATCAAGCTATTATCAACCCTTTCAGAGCAGCCCTGCACTGCTCTGCCCAATCTTATTTAGAACCCTCTCAAAAGGCACAAATCAACCTAGAAAAGCACTGGCAGACTGAAGACAGGATGGGGAGCAGTGCAATTCCACGTACTGCACAGCACGGCAGCTCTCTGGATGTCTCCCGACCAGATGGAGAAATCCCATCATCTCCCAACATGTTAATTAGGGATTTCCAAGAAGCAAATGAAAGACGGCTCCGCTGTGACAGCAGCAGAACAGCTCTCTGCACTGGTGAAAGGGTGGAAAAACGACGTCAGGAGGAGCTGGGTGCAGCTCTCCCCATTTTCAGATGTGTCCATTACCAGCAGAGCTGGATGCACAGCTCCCTTCTGCCCATGTTTTCCTCCTGCCCGCAGCCCGACGTGTTTTTTCCACTCTGCAGCCTCACTACCTGTGCAGGGCTTTGTTTGTACAGTGCAATGCATCCTTCCCAAGGTCTATTTTTAGGCCCTTGCATAACAGACTGCCACAATTCCAGTCAAAAGCAGCAAATATTGCCTTCTATGGGGAGAAATTACCTTTTCTGAAAGCCACACAGACCGCATGGCAGTTGAGTTTTCCCGTTTTATAACAACTCAACACGGACACCATTTACATCAGTTTGATTTCTCTTTAGCACACTGAAGCACCTGGAGTGCAAGATGGTGTGACAAAGTCTCACCTCCAAGCCAGCTGTGCTTTCAAAGCATGGAAACCACTCAAACAGTGCACGCTCTGCTTGATTTATTGCACTTTGGGTTGAAGTTCTGCCTCAAAAACAAGTCAGGGAAAGCATTTATCTGTGTGACAAAAGCTAGGTGAGATAAACACATCAAAAATCCAGGGAGGCACATATATAAACAGAGTTGTGCTGGGATCTGGGAGCTGCAGGCCCATTCCCTGCTTCCTGTCAGCTGACAGCTTCTGGATTTGGAAGCTTCAGCTGAGGAAAAAGCCTTTACACCAAGTGATGGGACAAAGCCATCACCTGCACACACCACCAGGGGCTGGATTCAGGCAGCTCTTGGTCAGCACAGAGCACACCTGATGGGCAGAAGGACAACCACTCGTGCTGTAGTGGATGCTACAGAAGTGCTCTGGTGCTTCTGCAGCCACATTTGTGCCCGTCTCACTGCAGCCATGTCTCACATGGGATGCGACTGACGCTAAAAGAATTTCCAACACAGGAAAATGAAGGGAGAAAAAAACACAGCAAAGCACCCGAAGAACAATGCAGAAATTAAGCAGCACTTCTCCAAACAAAGAGCTCAGGGCTGTCAGCAGGAGCAGAGCGCAGGGACACAGAGCTCTGCTGGTTCTCTGCAGCCCTGAGCAAACACAGCACAGGAAGTCATGTACCAGGAGATATGGAAAAAAAGAAAGGAGAGTTTCAATGGAGCTGCCCTGGACACGCTGGCCTCACTCCAGCATTTTAAGCCACCATTAAGCTCTAACAGCAGCAGCTCTTTACCCCATCCAGGTAAGCTCTGAGCATCGTGGTTTCAACCACGGTAGCAGGCAGCCCTGGATCTGAAGACTGCGCCCACTTTTGCTAGTCTCAAGCTTAACCAACTTCATCTGGGTAACAAACAGATTTACTTAACATTAAATATGTCAAATACTCACAGCTCTACTGAGTCTCCCCAGTTTATAGCTACCAACCTGGCCCAGCATTTTCAAGCTGCAGATATCACAGAAGAGGGAATAATTACCGGACGAGAATCCTCTTCAGCAGCTGCTGGTCTCCTTCGGAATAGCCAGGCCAGTCCTTCTGCACCTCTTTGTAGACACAGTCTTTCAGTGTGAAAGTGCTGTCCTTGGCACTCAGATTTGCCACCTGCAACAAAAGTAATTGGCATAAAACTGTTAGAATTTCAATTTCTCACTTGTTGGAGCAAGAGATGTAAAAGATGCAGGCAAAACTCTCAGCACTTAGCAGTAGGAAGGGGCATCAGAACAAGGGGATACCATAAAAACCACTCCCAAATTCTGTAGGTTTACTCTGCTTTTCTTTTGCCTTATCAGTGCAATGGAATCGACTGAGGAACAAGTTGAACCTAAGCAGATTATTCAGCCTGGATGGGCTGGAACAGTCCAGCATCAGTTGGCAGCAGTCCTTGGAAGACAACCCAGCAGGAGGAGGCAGCTCACAGCAGCTGAACCAGCACAGGGTAAGGAGAGGAAGGCTGCAGGAGGGAACCCCTCACTGCCATGCCTCCCAGCAGCAGACAGAGCTCCTTCTGGAGGGGCAGCACAGAGAATCCCCTGCAGGTGGGATGCAGCAGGGAGATCACACTGCAGGTCAGGTCCTCCTATGGAGGAGAACTTTCCTGAGGACTGCTTTAGGGAAAGAACAGCAAAGCCTGTGATTTCCAGCTTTTAATGTGGGGTTTTACGTAAATCATCGTGCCCAAATCCTGTGCTGCAACTTCAGAGCACTTGCACGAGCAGCTCTGTGACACTTGATCCAACCCCATTGTGTTTCTCTTCCCCGCAGAACCGCATGGTGCCTACGTGGATAGGAAGCAGCGCTGGAACTGGCAGCATTGTGTTAGAATGGAAACAGCTTGCTGCGAGTTATCCCACTTTCATCAGTCTTTCCACAGCGTGACTGAAAATTTAACCTCTTGTTGCTGGTTGCCTGTCTGAAAAACACGACGACAGCACAAAGCAAGGACTGAACGTGCACTGATACTGCCCTGGGTGAGCCAACCCTGTGTGGGAGACTGCAGAGCGCTGAGACCAGAAGGAGAGCAAACCCCTCCATGTATGTAGAAAGGGACACTGAGCCCAACAGTGGTTGGATCAGATCATCTCAGAGGCCTTCCCAACCCTAAGGGTGGTTCAGTGATAGAGCAGAGGGCAGCAGCCCACCTCCCAGCCTTCAGCTCAGCACTGGGAGCTGCTCTCATTCAGCTGCTGCAGGACTGCTGCTCTCCAGCCTCACTCAATGGCGGTGCCTGGGAGTTTGTTACCCGCACAGCAGTGAGATAACCTCAGAAAAGCAGGTGAGGGAGTGGGAAGTTTTAATTAAAAAGATGCTGCTAATCTCACTTTTTGGCCTTCAGGAAGATTTTGACCTGCTATTAAAAGCAAAAAGCTGGAAAACCAAATAGGGCCAAGCGCTCCTGATAAGCGAAAAATAAAAAGCACAGCTATCGCTTCACATGGCCAGCACTGCTTTCCCCTTCAGCTGTCAGCTTTCCAACACCCTGAGCCAACAGGCAAGAAGGTTGGAGCTGTGTTTTACACTGAGATAGCCCAGCAAACAAGTCCTGCACAGAAAGCAAAGGCAGGCTGTGCTTGCAGGGCTGTTCTGCAGCGGACGCAGCTCTGTGCTGCTCTGCACACAGCCGGAGCTGCTGCCTCCCATTCTGCTGTGCTGGGCTCTGCAGGCTCCACCTCACACCTCTCAAAAATAGAAAGCTTGCAAAATGAGGCAAAAAGGCCATCAGGAGGAACACAGAGTCCTGCAAGAGATGCGAGAGCACTAAGAAGCCCACACCTCGATGCAGTCAGACACGTTGCCAGGGTGCAGCTTGTCACTCCTTGCTTCTCAGTTGGTCAGTGCCCACTGGTGGCTGGGAGGAGGTGAGCCTACAGGCAATGTGTTACAGCAAAGCCAGCACTGAGCCCCATTGGGGTGACCTGCAGCCATAGCCAGGCTCATCACCACCTGCTGGGGGCTGCTGAGCATCACCAGGAGATGAGCACGCAGACAATGCTGCTAAATGTGCTCCCAGCATTTGGCAGGGCGTGCGATTTCCAGAGCTGCTGGAAAACGAAGGGCTGTGGGATTAAAACGTAGGGAAGGGGTGAGCTGTGCCAGCAGGAGCCACTCCCAGCGACCTGCTCTGTGCCCTGGGCAGACCAACCCCTCGTCAGCTGGTGCATCTCAGCTGTGGAAAGGAGTAAAACGAAAAAAATCTGACACAGAAGGAGGCAGCTGCAGCATTTACATAATAGCCACGGTGTGTCTGGTACTGCCAGAGCAATAAAGGTGTTTACTGCAATTCCCAAAATGGCACCTTCACCATGACTCAAAGCGTTAAGGACTGATTCAGCCAGGAGACAGCTTTCCCACTTGGCATACAAATAATAGCAAGAAGCTGCACGATCTGCACACCTAACCAGGGGCAGTGCTGAGCAGGAAAAGCACGGAGCAACACAAAGCTCAGCACGGAGGGACACATCCTTCCTTCACACAGAAAACATGTATTAACACACACTGCTTTGTGGCTGTGTTAACAAAGATATATGGAGTAGATTTATAGGTTATAACAATTCCCATCACACTGAGAGCCTCTGTTAGGAACTCCCCCCCCACTGCCAACCAAAAGCGTGCCCCTTAAGCAACTGAGCTGTTGAGCTGAGGTTGCACAGCACACATTCACACCCATGCAGAATTCACTGCCCTCCTAGAAGACGTTTCTCTTTACCTAAGGAGACACCTCCATCTGAGTACAAACCTGCTGCAGAAGGTTGTCCAGCAAATCCTTGTCCTGCTGAGAAAGTCCATCCTTCTGCAATCTGAGAATAAGTTCAGGTTTCTTATAAGGCTTTAGTGCCAGTAAGTGCACAACCCTATCTTTGAAGGGTCTCTGAGAAATGGCGCTATTGCCTCTCTTTATTGCACTGGCAAGGTTGACTGGCGTTGGGCGCTTCCTGGAGGGAACAGCATCGGAAGCTCCTGGTGCAGGCTTACGCACCTGAACCTTTTTGCCTAAAATGAGATGAGAACAGTGAACTGCAGCAGTCACCTTGCAAAGGCCAGTGGTTTGTCAGCACGAATATGGAGTTCATCACACGCTCTGAAGATGACAACGAAGGACACACAGCACATCAGCTCGCCACCACCGAGTGGTGCCCTGTGAGCTGTACAGTTTGAGACCAACTCCCAACCAGCAAACAGCAGCACCAGGCTCCAGAGAGCGGAGCGTTCCTGGCCACGAGCTCACATAAAGCTCTCTTTGTTTGCCAGCTTTGCATTTATCCCAATTGTGAGTACCCCCGTGGTTAATCCGACCACTTTTCCCTCCCCAGGAGGAGGAAAGTTTGGCATTATTATGTAGAGGAGTCGAAATGTGGAGTGGAAGGAGCAGAGCCGGTCAGCACAGCTCCCTGCTGCTGAGCTCAGCAGAAGCGCGGCTCCAGCAGATGTTTCTGCTTTAGAACAATAGGAACTTTATGGGGCCAGGTCCACCTCCTCTCTGCCGCACGGCCACGTGAATGGGGTCTAACGCTGACACATTTCCCTATTCATTAGTGCTGACTGTTCCCATAGAAGAACTCTGCCACTCGGCAGCTCTGCCTCCGGTATCACAGCAGCCCAGCTCAGCTCCATCCCAGATGCAGCTCCTGCTTTCTTACAGCATGATACAAGAATTCATTTTTCCCATTCCTATTGAAAAACCAACTTGAACTGGAATCCTCACGGGTCCCACAGCACTGACCAGAGCACGTAACTCAGAGAATGCCCCTGTTGTGAACAGGTCACAAGGCCAGGCTCTGCCACCAACGGCAGAAAGAGCAAATCAAAACAAACGCGAGGGTTCCAAGGTCACAAAAGTGGGGATGCAGTAACAGCACTTTGGTTCAGGAAAGCGACCTTCATCGGGACAAACAACGTCCAGCATTTATCGCAGTGAGCTGGGAGCTTTATCTCCGCGTGGCAAGGCTGCACTGCTAGGAAGCAACGCTTTCAACTGAGTCATCTGGAGGTGCTGGTGACTGTCTGCACTGTTTGTTTTACTGACATGCAGATTGCATAACCGAGTCCCCATTTCCTGGCTTGCTGTTACGCTGATGCAGAGAAGTCCAACCCAGCAGCAGTGGGGCTGTGCTGGAAGAGGGGGAAGCTCTGCTCCCACGTCAAACATCCCAGCACAGCGGTCAGCGGGGCCTCGCCGCCAGCTGTGGGCTATGGGAACATTGACAAGCTTTCTACAGCTCCCCTCACTCCTGCCAGGTTGTGAACAGCAAAAACATATTGTGACATCTCCACTTGGGGCTGCAGCCAGCACGGGCAGCAATGGGGGGAGAACAAACTGAGGCCAGAGCACTGCGTCACGTACAGCACTCGCGTGTGTATGGATGTACTGAAGTGCACACAGATGCACTCAGTGCATGTAAGCACGGCCCCCTGCAGACATCTGCCTACACACACATCCATCCAAGCATCAGTTCACAGCCACGCTGCCCTCCTGCTCTCCCTGTTGCCCTGTTTTGGTGTTTCAGGCAAACCGCCCCACTTTCCAGCTGTCATTTTTTAAGGCAAGTTGGGCTGCGTCCCTCTGGGAAGCAATCTGCTCTGAGAATCTTCTGAGCCCAACTTCAGCCACTTACTGTAACGTCCTCAAATATAAGCTAAACAAAACAGTCCTCTCGTCTACAGGAAATCAATGCATTTCCTTCCTGATTACTATCTTATTTCTCAGTTTTGAGCACTTGGCGGATAAAACAATGAGTCAGGGTCAGCTCTGCTTGCTGCAACGCACCATTCTCAGCACAGACATCCCCTGTAAATGGGGCAGGCTGCAGATCCCATGGGCCTGGAGGAGCTGGGCTCTGCTCACAGCTGACCACACAGACTTGACTTTATAGCCAGGCTGAGGTTAAGCAGGGAGCAGTTCCCATCAGTCTCCGCAGGCTCCTTCTGGAGCTTACTGATAACTCACCACACTTTAATTCCCTCTGTAGAGATCTCTCCCTTTGCTGGCACCGTAAGGTGGTTCCTCTGAGGCTGCAGCCAGCAGCTCTAATTGGGCCTCCTGGCTGACGACCACAGTAGCACTGCTCCCTGCATCACTGCTTGGTGACAGAGCCACACCGGGGTGACCGCAGAGCCAAGCAGGATCACGTGGAGATGGAAACCATCAAGAGGTCACAGTGCAAGGAGGCCAACACTGTCATTCACCAGACACCCCTAAGGCACCACCAGATGTTGGTGGAAGACATTCACAGCTCGGTCACTGGCAGCAAAACGAACAGGAGCACAAGCTGAGGGGCAGCAAGGACAGCCCCCACACTGAGGTGCTGCTTACCTACATATCTGCCCCCAGGCTTAATGACAATGGCACTCCGGCTGCGCGTCTCCTCCTCTGCCTGCGCCATGCTCTGCCGTGCCTTCTGGTACGAGTCGTCCGTGGCACACACAGTGATCTTATCCTGTATGCTCCCCAGGCAATCCAGGTGGATGTTGCCATTGCTGCAAAAGAAAAGCAGTGCAGAGGATGCTCCCACGGCTGTCAGACAGCTGTGCTAAGGAACAACAGAAGGGTGCAGAGAGATAAGCCTGATTTCTTCTGCTTACCCAAATACACACACAAACAGACTGCAAGGTCTCCAAAACTCAAAAAGAACAACACTCTATGTTTCGTTCAAGTTTGTTAGGGAAACAATTCTACGAAATACAAGGTAAGAAATGGGCTGGGTTGCTTTTAGTTTTTGGTGCATCACTCACCTGGACACATACTGCTGGATGCAGTCAAAGCTGCCCTGGGGGCTGTCCTTGCCAATGTTGGAAAGATAAAACGTGAAAGTCCGCAGTTCGCTCGGGCGGTCCGGCCTGGGAATTGCGATGTGCTGCGAGGATGGAGAAAAACTGGGCTCACCCCAATGCCACAAAAGCCCATTTTTTGGCAATGAGCGTGCCCCGAGCCATTCTGGGATCCAACACGAGGAAAGCAGGTGGAGTATGCACAGGAGATTGCAAAGTGCAGGCTGGGGAGAAGCTGCAAGCAGGATTCAAGTCACGGTGCAGCAGTAAGAAGGTAAGAGAGGAGGCAGGGATGGAGAGATGAGTGGAAAGCAAAACAGAGGTAGAACTGGCAGCTCAATGCCCTTCAAAGCAAAGCAGAGATCTTTTTCTAGGAATCTGACCCAATTCTATCGATTCAGGCTTAAAACAGACTTGCAATCCCTGTTTATGTTCAATTTAAAACACTGGAGACCTGTTTCTTTAGACTTAGCGATCCAGCACCAAGCACAGCACAGGCTGGAGCACCAGGCAGCACGCTGCTGCTTTTCTGAGGGATTATAATTCCATAACGAGATTTCATGGCTCACAGTGGTGCGTGACGTGGCTGCTAAATTAAATATTTAATCAAGCATCAAGTGTGCTCGGCAGCACCTGCACAGCGCTCCTCCCCCAGCTCTGCTCTGCAAACAGAGGCCTCAAATACAGATCCACAAAGGGGAGACCCACTCCCCTCTGGTGCTGCAGTGCAAGATGCACACAGATCTGCATTTATGTGTGCTCAGAGAAAGGGATGGACCTGGTGCAGGGCTGAGCTCGGTGAGCTGCTGAGTGCTGTGAGTGCCCAGCCCCACAGCACCAACCCCTGACCACAGCGGGGGCAACAAACCCTTCTACCCCCAGCAGGCAGCTGGGAGCACATGCAGCTCTGGGTGTTCTGCATGCTAAGCCCACGGCCAAGAGGAGCAAACGGGGCTGCACGTGGTGGTTTGCAAAGCAAAAACCTGGAGGACGTGTGCAAACTGTGGCACTGCTGCAGGAATGGCTTCGCTGCCCTGGTGGTGCTTCTGCAGATCTGCGAGAGCTGCCTGGGCACAGAGATGTGCAGCGTATGCAAAGCGGCCGTTATCGAGGAATTATTTTTAGCTGAACCAGAAGGTTTCTCGAGCCACCACAGCAGCACGGTGACTGCTTGGAGGGAGCCCTAATTTTGGTGCAGTCGTACACCAGTAACCATGGGCTTAAAAATAGCTCGGCACAGATGTGACTCGCGTTTCTTCTTTCAAGTAATATTCATCTGTGTACAGCTCATTCTGAATGGCAATTTCACCTTCCTCTATTTATACCAACACGAGTTCATCCCAAGAAAGAAGGGAAACGTCACATTTTCCGCTCACGTCGGGCTGAGGGAGCTGTGCCCAACAGTCTGCAGGAGCACCCACGTCACCGCAGGGTTTCTGTGCCCCCTGCTCTGCTTCCCCCCCACGTGAGCACCTGCAGATCTGACCAACCTCATCCCTCATTCTCTATGGGCTTTTACCAAAATAGAAACACCTTTGGCCCTCCTCACCGAGCTGCCTGCCCTCCCCAGATCCTTTTTGCAGCCCTCACCTGGATGCGCTCCCGCAGTCCGTGTCTGTCCCATGCTGAGGACTCCCCACCTGGGCACACACCTGGAGGGGCAGACCCCTCCCCAAGCTGCACAGGCCCAAGGTATGGTTGGGTCTTCCACAAATGGAAACGTTTTAACGCAATCAGCTGAATTTGAGAACTCATTCTATCAATGCTGTTATCTTCCCAGTCCGTAGGTGGGAAGTGCCTCGAGCCCCACTGCCAGCTCCACAAGCAGGGCACAGTCCTGATGCAGGCAGGCACTCTGCTAAGAGCCAGATGGTGACACAGCTGCCAGCCCCCCCTCAGCACTGTAAAAGTCATAACATGGGGACAAAGGGCTCTTTCTGACAGCCCCAACTGAAGCGCAGTGCAGAGCTCTACCTTTGGCCTCTCTTTGACAGTGCAATTAATTCACCTGCTGAATAGGAGCAGGGCAGTACCAGGGTGCTGCTCTGTGAGCAGAGAGCTCAGGGACTCCATCCCCTTTTTTTGGTGCTGTTTTTACTCGCCCCCCCCCCCAGGATGCCCCATTCCCAGCACTGCCCAGCTTCGTGGCACGCTTCCCATCCCAGCAGTGGGGCTGTGCGAGTTGCTCTCCCTGATTTCACCACAATGCTCCCTTCGAGGAAGATGAAGGAAAGAGGAGGCACGGGCAGAGCTCAGGCAGCTGTGCAGGAAGAGGCAGACACACACCTGAGCTGCCTGCTCAGCTCCTATACCTGCTCACCCAACGGCACACAGGTTGGTCACTCACCTGCAGTTCTCCCACACCGTGTTCTGCTGGAGCACCACCTGGCTGACACACGGGCAAGGAGGGACCGCCTGACTTCAATGCCTGCGTAGCTCAAGCACATCTGAAACTTCCACTGGGCCACCACAAAAGCACCTCTTATTCACAGCTGCCTTCACGTTCTGAAAACAAACCTTACATTCCCTCTCCTTGCGTTGAGTACCTGAAGTTAACACACACTTTTCTGTATCTAGAAAGTAGATAAATCACTTTTTCAAACCATAGGATGGCCCAGGTTGGAAGGCACCTTGGAGTCCGTCCAGCCCCAGCCCTGCTGCAAGCTTATAGACCGTCTGCATGCTAAGCAGCATTGGCTCTGCCTCGGAGCAGCTCTGAGCTGCACAGCCTCCACCTAAAGAAATCAGAGTGTGTGCAGGAGCAGGATGGAGCTGGACAGACAGAGTGGGACAGACAGACAAAGATTGCTCAGATCCACTGCAAAAGCAAAACCGGTGCGCGCTTCCCCAGGCGGCCCCTGGGCTGACTTACCCCTTGGCTCCCTTGAAACTGGATTACCGGTTTTGAAGTCACAGTATCCTACAAAAACAAATAAAAGAAGAATTAGAGAAGCACAAGGCTCAGACGGCCGCTGTCGAACAAGTCAGCTGGATTTTCCACCTATGCTTTTTTTTTTTTTTAAAGAACGAGGCTCAGAAATGTACAGAGAGCAAATGCAAGAACAGCAGAAGCAGAAAAAGGATGAGAGCACGATGCCATCAGCTCCAAACATTGCTCTCAGCCACCGACCCCCAGGGAAAGGGAAGCTCTCAGATGGTTCCCTCCAGCACTCCTCCGGCGCAGAACAGAGCACTGCGTGTCCTCAGTGCTTATGCAAGGTTTGAGTTAAACAGTGGGTATTTGAGGGGAAAATTTATGACGGCTCGGAGAATGCGTGAAGTGAATTTTTTCCAGCAGAACGCTGGCAATTGGACGGGGGAGCAAACGGAGGCTCTGCTGCTCTGCCCAGCAGCCTGCCTGCTCCTCCCAGCTGCAGCCCCTCTGCTGCTCCAAGCTCAGGCAGGCGCAGCTCCTCAGTCCTCCTGCAGCACACATCGTGCCTCAGTCAATGCACCAGAGGAAATCTGGGTGCCAAAAAGCCTGAAAAAGGATCCTGTAGAGCTAATTACAGATCGGGGAAGGCCTGCAATTAATTCTGGAGGATTACTTAAGTGGAATAGAAGGGTAACACAGAGCACGGACGTAAGAGAATGTGGCACTGAGAGCAACCACACACTGTTCCATGATCAGCTATAGTTACGGAATTTACATATTCCCTAATCTTTGTATGGGCTAAGTTAAAGAAAAAGAAAATAAACGAGTGTTCCTGCAAGTTAAGGAGCAAACTTCAGCTCTACTTTACTGCTGTAACTCCTGGAGCACTGCTTGCCACTTCCTAGAATGGGTCTAAGAAAACACCTCAATCTTCCTCCCACCTTCCCATACAGGAGATGTGCACCCCTGCGCCCTCCTCCCTGCAGCTGCCTCCCCACTGCTCCTCCCAAGAGCAGCACTCAGAACACCCAACTGCTGCACTGATGCTGCCCCAGCCCAGCACAGCTTGGTGGTACCAATGCAGACAGCAGCAGAGTCAGTCCTGCAATGTGCTGCACGGCCTCCTGCCTGCTCACAGCCTGCAGTGGGAGCTCATGGAGCACTGTGCCAGCATTCTGCACTGCACAATGCACTTCTGTGCTCCTGCTGCATCGCTGGGCACGGCACTGCAGTGAGGCTGCAAACACAGCCCAGCGTGCAGTGCTGCCCCTGAAGGCATGAGGTTAAGCCCAAAAAGGAGCACCTGGCTCCAAAGGCCCAGCACACTGCTCTCGAGCTGGCAGCAGGCTGACATGTGCAGGGAGGCACAGCTCGGGTGCTGCTCCAGGCACGGGATGCACGTGGCACTGCAGTCCTGGGGCCAAGCAGGCAGCTGGGCACCTCCCATTTCTTCAGGGAAATACAGATGATTAAAGAATACTCTGTTTCGAGAAGTTCTGTTCTGCACTTACTGGAATTTGTACTGGAGGCAGCACTGCACGGGAAGTATTGGCCTATACTTAGTAGCAGTGCATTTGTCCATTTCCTCCGATGTCAGGGAGCAAACAGAGCAAACGAGAGCTCACCTACCTCTGTTTATTTTGGAACAAGGGAACGGTTTTCAGAACACGAAGCTTCGTGCAAACATTTCAAGTTAGTACCAGGAATATCAATGAATAGAGCAGCCACAGAGGCCAGCTGGGCACAGAGGGGAGCAGGGGCACAGTGCCCACCCGAGGGGCACCATGGAGATCTGCAAACCAAGCCGTGCTGAGCTGTGCAGAGCACTCACTCCTTTCTGTTTTACACGTTTGTTTTTCAGTTTTGAATGCTCTGAGAAGTGCCACCAGAACCAAAGCAGGCAGAGGCAGCACCCAGCACACCAAGGGATCATTAGGAGCAGCCAGAAATAAACACCCCTGAACACACCACAGAGACAAAGGGCTTCTCCCAGGACGTTCCACTTCCTCAAGGCTTGCATTTACCTCCTACCAGAGAAAATCCTCCTGAATATTCCTTCTTTACATCACATCTATCACTCACAGAACCACGCTGTCTCCCTGCGGTTCAATCTCCTTCCATCTGCAAAGAGTCTGCTGAGATGTGAGAGTTACAAACCCCCATCACTGCGCTGTTCTTTCTTTGTAAACCTAAACTACAAAGCCTCCCAGACCTTTTTACAGACTGGATTTGCTGTTCAAATGCAAGGAATGCCTTGGGAATCCGGTGGCAATGGGACTCCATCCCATGGAAATGGAGGAACCTCGTGCCTGGGGGCTCAGTGCTCCAGCTCCCTTGGATACACGTCCCCACCTGGAACCACACACATTACAAACCACGATTTTCCTAAAGTCACAAACAGGTGCAGACCACAAAGCACCTCCAGATGGGAGCACAATGCAGCACAAGCGGTAATAAGGTGATAAAGATCTTTGATGTCAGCCAAAGCTCCAGGCCGGACGTCTCCAAGCTCCAATTGCCAGGCTGCAGAGCAGCGCTGCCTTCCTGGCCTGTGGTTGAGTAATGCTACGCACTGCTGGCGTCACTTCCTCAGTGGTTTGAACTTCTTGGGTTCAAAAGGTTCAGAAGCCACGAGTGCCCCTATAAAACAGACAGCAAGTTGTGTGCAGAGCCACTGCACAAAGCTTGGGAGGAGCGGAGTTACCGGGAGAGCATGGAGGGATCTCAGTGCTTCATGCCATGCAGCACCGAAATCACCTCTGCACCAGGGTCTGGTGAAAGAGGGCTGTGATTACATCACACATCCGTAGCCAAATGGAATTGTTTTGTGCCCGTGATGTAAAGCAGGAACTCAGCCCTATATGCACAACAGCCTGAATCAGCGCAGCAGAATGCAATTAAGCTGCTGTCACTGAGATGGCAGCCCATAGGCACAGAGCAGAGCTGGCCATGGGCGGCTCTCACGCACACCAGGATGGCTCTGCTTCCTCAGCCCAGAGCTCACTGGGTACAAAACGCAGTGTGGGACCCATCCAAAGCAGTTTGGGACCCAAAGTCCAACAGCTGAGCACTGCTCCCCGAGGCAATGCCCCACAGCACTGCCCCACAGGTGTGGGTGCCAGACCCCGTGGCAAACACCAGAAGGGATCCCAGCTCCCTGCATGCACAGCTCCATAGGGCGCAGCACACGGCTGCACTGCAGCACTTTGCCATCAAAAAGAAGAGCTACACGTCCATGGCACTTAGGCAGTTTTCTTTCGGAAAGAAATTAAAGCAGCCCAATTCCTTTGAGAAGTAATTAGAAGCGTTTTTGCCTGCAGCTCGCTCCACTCGCTGGCAGCAGAACCCCCTGTTTCTGCAGTGCTGTGAGCACAGTTTCCATGCAAAGCACACAGGCATGGCCTGCACGCTGCATGGCTGCAGCAACCTAAGGCTTCCCCCAGCGAGTGCTCCAGCCCAGCAAGCAGCTGCATGGAACAAAGGCGGGGAGGCACAGAAAAGAGCTCTCCAGTAAATCCTAAATGGACAATTGGGATGCAATGGGCCGTCCCCAGAGAAAATGCAAGCTTTGTGCTTCCAGACAAACGAGCTGGGCCATGCAGAGAACCTCAAAAAGGTTCTCCATCTGATTCCAGCAGGAAAGCAGCACCAATCTGCACCAAAAGGGAACACACACTGTGAGAAATGGGCAACGATGGGAGACAGCAGTTGTGACACTGAGCTCCTGACTCACCTCTGGGCTGCAGAGAGAGCTGCCCTGGTGGGACACACACCCCAGCAGCGCTGCTCCTCCCCTGCTGTCTCCCCACTGCTCTCCCAGGCGCTCGGGGAGACGACCTGCTCGTTAGGGCTGACGAGAGGCAATCATCAAAGCGCCCGAGGATCATTATCTGCAGTGTAATCATTACAACCTCCCACCAATTTCACTGCTAACGAGATGGGGCACCCAGCCACGCTGCGCTGTCAGGAGGCGGACGGCCAACTCCCACCTTTCCAGAGGTGCACAGATCAGAGGGAAAAAGAGCGTTTGCATCCCCGTGCAATTTTCCATACAGAGCACAGCTGATGGCAGCAGGGTGGTAATCAAACAGATATCCTCAGCTGAACATACAGCTAGTGCAAAAGAGCTGCCCGAGCACAGCAAGCTGCTCCCAGGTGGTAACACAGGAGCCCTCTGATACAACAGACGTGTCTCTCCTAAAAAGAGAAGTTCCCTTTCTTGCAGCGCAGTGGGGCACTGCTGCTCTTCCAGGAAGGCTCTCGTCGCTGTGACCCAGAGCAGAAGCAGCAGATAAAGTTGGGAAAGCACTCAACAAGTCGAAACAGCACTTCCCAAAGCGCCCGCACAAAGATAGCGCTGCGTTGGCAAATTCATGGCGAAAGATTGAGTGCAGAACTAGAAATGGGTCCCACTGTCACTCACCAGCTGTTGAAACGGAGCTTTGGGAGAAGGCATTTTAATGTCAAATGAACACAGCCCTAAAAACGCCCCTTTCTAAGAACCCTGAGGTCACTGTTCAGCTGGGAGAAAAGGATTCCAACTGAAATACCAACGCAGAACTTCGGTGGGCTCCAGCAGCGCAGCTCCGCTTCCAGGGCTCCAACAGCCCAGACAGCAAAACAGAAAGGTAAATATCAGTATTTCTGAGCACAGGCACAGGAAAGCAAACCCTGCACATCTGTGTTCTGAAGTGCTGCTTTCAACAAGAAACAGCACTGTGCAGAGGACCAACTACAGCACTGCACCCAGCAGCCATTGAGCACGGCGCAGAGCTCCGGCACTGCGCACAGCTGTGATCCCAGCCCTGCCTGCTGCTGCTGCAGAATCTTATGGGAGCCATCAGATGATCTCGTTCCATTGGGAAAGGGCTGAAAGAAAACCCAACCAAAACAACTGGCAGCAGGAAACTGAATCATCCTCGATTTCCAACTCTGCAAAAGGTGAACGGCAGCTCTGCTTTCCCTGAAGGTTTTACTTAACAGCTGTGTGAGCCAAGTGTCATTACAGGGCATTTGATTCCCTGTTCCTTACATTGCAGGAGCCG